GATCTCAATTTCAGTGAAAATAACCGTGACTTATCACTTTTTGCCATAATCGAGCAGCCCTAGTTTGGAAAGCATGTAAATAGTTTGATATCAGTTTGAGAAAGATTTTTATTTTTTTTGTTCGTCCATGATTGCCAAGACTTGAGAGAACATTTTTCGAAAGTCAAATGTGGTTGTCCATAATAATTATATGTGTGGTTTGAGAGAAATTGATAAAATCCTGTTTACGTTTTATTTTTTTTCTTTCCCTTAAATTTTATATTTATGCAGGGTTCAACATAAAAAGTGGCCGAATCTTTGGAGCCAGTAATCATTAGTTTTTAATGATTAGTTTTTATTACCGTCAGTATTTTCACAATGAAATGCCAATGGAAATCAAACCACCCATATGGATTGTTTAAATGTAACAAAAAACTGTTTTGTTTGTTTGGTTGTTATTGTTTTTTAACTGCTTCCATCTACTTTTTACACGGCAGCAGCTTAGTAATTTAAGTAGAAGCTAAAATGGAAAATGGAAACTGTCTGCTTGCAGTTAAACTGATCTTTGTCCATCCAACGGCTGGAGCCATGGACTGGTCGCCAATCTGGCGCAGACTTAAAACACTCAAACCAGAGACAACCATTCACAGTCACACTTATGGGCAATTTAGAATCATCAATTAACCTAACCCCTATAACGGCATGCCTTTGGACTGTTGGAGAAAGCTGGAGTACCCAGAGAGTACCCACGCAAACACGGGGAGAACGTGTGAACTCCACACCGAAAGGCCCCAGGAACGTGGTAGAATCGAACTCAGGACCTTCCTGGTGTGAAGCAGCACTGCTAAACACTACCTGATAGATCTCTAAATCTGTAAAAATTTCTTGTAAACTTGATGCAGGCTAACAGCTGCCTCTCTTTTAGAGCCTATGATGTATGATTTTCAAGACTGGTACAGATATTTAAAAATTTAATCGACCAATACTTTGTTGCTCAGTTAGATGAAGACAAAACAGATTCCCCTAACGTTTGTTATGTATATTTATTTTTAACTCCTTTACATGCATTTTACTTTACGTACTAACTGCAGTGGAAGTATCAGTCTGCTAATAAATGACATGTTATTTTTATGCGATAAGCTAACAGTACGTAAAGTAATTTTAATTGCCTTTATTTTGGGGGAATTTAAAGTGATCGACCTGCCCCAGTGGGGGGTAACTGTTAACACTGTTATTGTTATGTAAGCTTTTGTAATTCATGTGGTATGCCTTAGAGATGATCCCAAAAAACTGATCCATGAAGCTAGTTCGTGCATAAGAA